CTGATCCGCCCCCTCAGCTCCAACAGCAAACCCCTTCCCTCATGCAACAGCCTCCGTCTGTGGAATGGCTTCATGCCTCCAAGCACCTGCACCGCTGTAATTAAGAGTCATTTGGGATTAATGTAAATAATTATTGAGTCTTGGTGGGATAGCAAAGAATTCCAGAAAAGCACCATAAAAGTAATCATTAATAGTGCTCTGGGGATGATGGCAAATGCCTTTCGCTGCAGTTTAAGCAGCAGTGGGAAGGAAAGGAGGTGAATCCCCCTGTGCTGGGCTGAATCCTGCCTGGAGGTACCTGGTGTGTCCCTCAGGAGAGGAGGAAGCTGCACTGTAATGATTACTGCTGGAATTACTTAGCTTTGCTGGGAAGGGAGCAACCCTCATGCCCAAATGCCCTGCTCTGTGCTGGAGGAAGAGCCTCTGGCTGCACGTTTGACATGGTTCATTCCTGATTTTTTACCTGTGGGATCCCCTGTGCTTGGCAGGGAAGAGTCCCAGGAAAGGGACAATTCCCAGAGCAGCCCAACCCCAATGCTCCTGAAGCCACCACACACTGGAACCATGAGCAGGGAAAGCCTTTCTACAACCCCCCCACCTCCCCCATGTGCTTCACACTCCTGTTTGGGATTAAATGGTCTGATTTAGGCTTATTTTTAGCCTAATAAAGAACAACTTTGCCAAAAAGAGCTTCTAAGAGCAGAGGATCCTGCATCCAATTGGATTGTTCTTTCTTTGGAAACCTGCCTTCAGCAGGGATTATTCCCAGCATCATAAACCCCTCCCCTGCTGTCAGTTCCACCAAACGTGTGGGGCTGAACAACTTACCTCTACAAAGGAGGTGGCTCCTGACAGTGGATGTGACGATCGTCCTGCTGGGCACATACTGGTACGAAACCCCTGAGCTGGAGCCTCAGCCCAGACCTGGCCGTGCCCAGAAGCAGTTTAACATCACCTGGTGACAATGTTCCTCCTGATTGAGTCTCTGCCACCTGAAGCAGTTTCCATCAGGCTGTCAGCAAGCGCTGCTTAAGCTCAGAAGTGCAAAGCACCCCATAAACGCAATGATAAAGCAAGTCATTATTGAATTGGATTGATTTCTACTTTGCTTTTCTAATGACAAGTCCATCGTGTTCATTGGTCTGGGCTTGCCCAGAGGAGCAGGGATAAAACAAGGATTAAAACCCACTGTGTTGCGGAAGGAGCAAAGGAAACAATCACAAAGTGACGTGAAGAGGCTTCAGGTGGTCTCTGGTGCAAGGTTAAATCTCAGATGACATCAATCTGAAATTCTCTTTGTCAGAGTGGGGAGAAAGAAAAAGAAAGCATTAAATATGCCCCAGCCAAGCAAATCTGCAGCATCCCCAGTGCAGTTAGAGACAAGCTTTAGTTGTCTGTGTTGCAGGATCATGCAGGTTACATGGATACTAATAAACCTTTGCTATTTGTACAGGCTTTCTTAGGTTGAATAATTAAATTGACTTTATCCATTAAATACTCCCTGTTAAGCATTAAATATGTGGCTGTGTTTTAATAGCCAGGACCAGCTCATCTTCCAAACGAGGGGGATTAATTAGGGATTTTGATGTAGCCACAGCACCAGCAGCACCGGCTGAGGGGCTGAAAGCTCATCCCAGAGCCTTAGAATGG